GGCCCTGGGTTTCCACGTTCCCGGGTGGCCGGGGCGTTCCAGAATCCCCCAATTTGGCACCTTTACATTAGATCCCGAGCGTGGCCCCCAGCCTCGCTCCGCAGGCGCCGAGGCGGACTTGGCGCCCCCAAAGCGAGCCTACAGTTAAGTAGCGGGACCGTCCTGCAGATGCGGTTACTTCCGGGGGAGGTGGAAATCCGCCCGCGTGCCCGTCGTTGTGACAGGCGCTCGCGGGTCCCCAGCAGGGGGCGGGCACGGCTGGGTAGAGACTCCCCAAGTGGGGGATGTTGGCCAGCCGGCAAGGGTTCCCCCGCAGCACGGGGGTCTAGGGTGGGACCCGCAGGCGGGCGGCAGTTGCAGGTGGTTGGCGGGAAGGGGGACGCGGCGGCCGAGGAGAACGCACGTGGTCCACCCGCCGAGGAGGTGTGGTGGCAGGTGTAGGCACACAAGGCGCCCGGGTTGATGCGGAGCCCAGGCCTTCTTGGTGGGTTTTTTAATTTGCATCCGAAGAACAATGACAGTCTGTTGCTGAGCTTTAAGCAGGAGGTTGAACTGATTCGATCTGCATTCTGGAGAGATTCTTCCGGCCAGATGGGAGGTTACTGCTGCGATCTGTGTGAGAATCAGCGGCCCCCTGACAAAGATGTCAGGTGTTAAAATTGCCAGGACCTGGTAGGGATGAAGGAGGTGTCAAGAGAGAGTCCTGTGCTTTCTGGCTCGGTTCTGGGATTGGGAACACGGGAGGGAATCGTTTCGTAAATGGGAACTGAGAGAACAGAGTAAAAATGGGGGTATACCTGGGAGTGGAATTGCTGGGTCACGTGGTCATCCTGTATTTAACTTAATGAGGAACTGCCAGATTGTTTTCCAGACTGGAAATTGTTTTACATTCTCACCAGCAATGTAGGAGGGTTCCAGTTTCCTCATTCCCTTGCCAACACGTATTTTCTGTGTGTGCTTTTTTTTTTTTTTAATAACCATCCTAGTGGATAAAGTAGTGTCTCATTATGGGTTTGATTTGCATTTCCCTAATGAATACTGATACACTGAGAATTTTTTCATGTGTTTATTGGCCATTTGTATATCTTTGGAGAAATGTTTATTCTTTTGCTTATTTTAAAAATTGGCTTGTTTGTCTATGTGTTGCTGAGTTGTAAGAGTTTTTTTATATATCCTGGATAGTTGGCCCTTATCAAATGTGTGATTTGCAAGTGTTTTTTTAATACAAAAATTTTTCCTTTTGTCAAGGTCTTTGATGTTGGATATCTATACATATTTAAGAATGAAGCTTGCAACACATTGAATGCAGATTTGAATGCAGAATCAGACATGAATGAGAATCCATCTTGTTACAATAGATATTAAAGAGATTTACAGAATGTTAATGCTCTTCTCACTAGCTTTTCTGAAAATACCCAGTTTTACATTTAAAGTGTTACTTAAGTAATGGGTTTGCTAGTGTTTATGAGTAAATATTTAAAACTTTTCTATTTTAATTTTAATATGATAAGTATTAATAGATACTGTCCACATAAACACTCCTTGGGGTTCTCAGTACTTTTTAACAATGTGAAGACTTCCTGAGTCCAAAAAATAAGAAGCCACTGATACATTCTAATGTCAGTTATTTTGGTAAGTTAGCTTTCTTTTCATCTTACCCTTTGTTTTAAATACATGGAATTCCTAGAGTAGGATCTTTACTGACTTAAATAAAATCCCTTAAGCCAGGAGTTACTAGAAATTTTTAGATGTAGTATAAAAGTCCATAAATCCTTTAATTATACGTGTGTGTAAGTGTATGTTCTCGGGGAAGTGAGTGTGTGACTTCTATCAAATCTTTGGAAACTCCATATCCACAAAGATTAACAGCCACTAGCCAGACTTAGGGCAGTAAAAATAATAAAAGACTACTAGGCTCTTGGTATTAGGCCAAATTTTTTCCGTTATTAGCTGAAAAGAATTTCTGAAACGTTAAATTGGAGGTTGAATACTTCCAGTCCAGATTATTCCTAAGCCTCACAACTGTATATCAACTTCAGTTTGTACGTGTTACAGTCACTTAAAACTTTTATGTATGAAATGAACTCATCATCTCCATTTCTTCCCATCCAAAAGCAAAATAATATAAAAGTATTCCTTCTCCTTGGTTCCTAGTTCAGTGAGTATACCATCAATGATACTGAGTTCACTTTTATACATATTAAGTCTAGTTATCTTGTCTCCTCTTTTTTACCCATCTTTTACCTGGGGGCCATCCCATATTTGTTCTTTTAACTTGAGAAGCTCTATTCCCTTTGAGATGCTTTCTTAGTGGTTGGCCCCTATGTGACTTTTATGATTTAGCTTATATGTCATTTTCTTTATAAGCTTTTCCTTACCTTTATCAATGTAACCATGCTATATTATTGTCTACTTAATTATCTGTGAAATCCAAAGTAGATATAGGTTATGTTTCTCTTACTCAGCTAGAATATTAGTTTTTAATTGCTTTTTAAATACAACTCTCAGTTTTAAAAACTCAAAATACATTTGTGTGTGACATTATATCCTTTATGTCAAGTGAATACTAAATAGATTTAGTAATCTATATGATAGCAGACCCCTCCTTGCTTGTCTTGCAGATTTTAGTTTAAAAGACAATTCCTCAGGAAAGCCTTCCCCTAACCCTTAGTCTAGGATAGGTCTTTTTTTTTTTTAAGATTTATTTATTTGAGAGAGAGAGAGCAGGGGGAGGGGCAGAGGGAGAGAGAGAAAGAGAGAATCTCAAGTAGACTCCCCACTGAGCATGGACCCTGACTCGGGGCTCAATCCCACGACCCATGAGGTCATGACCTGACATAATGGCTCTTGCGTCGGGCTCCCTGCTCAGTGGGGTGTCTGCTTCTCCCTCTCCCTTTGCCCATCTCCCCTGCTTGCTCTCTCTTGCTCTAGAACAAGTGGGGGAGAGGAGCAGAGGAAGAGGGAGAGAATTTCAAGCAGACTCTACACTGTTCGGAGAGCCTGATGCAGGGCTCCATCTCACGACCCTGAGATCATGACCTGAGCCAAAATCAAGAGTTGGACGCTTGGGCGCCTGGGTGGCTCAGTCGTTAAGCGTCTGCCTTCAGCTCAGGTCATGATCCCAGGGTCCTGGGATTGAGCCCCGCATCGGGCTCCCTGCTCAGCGGGAAGCCTGCTCCTCCCTCTCCCACTCCCCCTGCTTGTGTTCCCTCTCTCGCTGTGTCTCTCTCTGTCAAATAAATAAAAATCTAAAAAAAAAAAAAAAAAAAAAAAAGAGTTGGACGCTTAACCAATTGAACCACCCATGTGCCCTGGAATCTGTATTTTTAAGGAGTGTCCCAAGTGATTCCCATATCAGGCAAGTTTGAGAAAAGGGACCCTATAATGAGTTATGTGCTTCCTCTCTATTCTCCCATCCCACTTCTGGAAATTCTTTGTTATATGTCTGTCATGTTTCGTAAAGGCAGAGACTGATCACCTCTATATTCTCAACACTTAGCCTATATTAAAGAATGATTCTTTAGAGAAGGGTGGGTATACATTTCTGAAACTGGAATGTAATTTCTTGGTAATAGGGTAGGTATATGTTTAACATCATTAGAAACTTCCAAACAGTTCTTCAAAATGGTTTTAACAATTTGCATTCCGTCTAGCAATGTTGTTAATGAATTCCAGTTTGTCCCCATCCTCACCAATATTTGCTGTTATCAGTCTCTTTTTTTTTTTTTTTTTTGGCCATTCTGATGAATGTGAAGTGGAATGTTGGTGATTTAAATTTGCATTTCCCTGATAACTAATGATGCTGAGAGCACTTTCTCATATGCTTAAGAGCAATTCATATGCCTTGTGTTACGTATGTGTGAAGTAATATCCAAGTATTTCATCCCTTTTTTATTAGACTATCTTTTTAAAAAAATTATATTTGTGTGCATTCTTTACATAATTGGGGTAAGAGTCCTCTGTTGGATATATAAATTGTGACTATTTTCTCCCAGTCTTTGTCTTGTCTTTTCACTTTTTTAGTGGTGTCTTTTGATGAGCAGAAGTTTTAAAATTTTGTGGAAGTTCAAATTAACAACTTTCTAATTAATACCTTTTTTATTCTAAGAAATCTTTGCCTCCCCCATAGTCATGCATATATTCTCCTATATTTTCTTGAGAAAGTTTATAGGTTGATTTTTTACACTCAGAAATGTGATCCATCTCACTTCTGTTATTATATAAGATGTAAAGTACAGAGTCCAGGCATTTTTTTCTCCCTTTCAGAAATCTAGCTGTGTCGGCACCATATTGAATATGCTTTAGATCTTCCTTTCCACATTGAATTGAATTAGTACCTTTCTCAAAAATCAAGTGGCTTTCTTTCTAGACTCTATAATTTGTTCCTTAATCTGTTAGTCTAAATATTACACTGCAAATACGGTAACCTTATAAATAAGTCTTGAAATATATGTCATTTAACTTTCTTCTAAATTGTTTTGGCTATTCTAGGTTTATCACATTTCCATGTAAGTTTCTAATGAAATTGTCAACTTCTACCAAAAAAAATCATTCTGCAGTTTTGACTGAAGTTGTGGTCAATCTGTAGCTGAATTTGTAGAGAACAGATCTTAACAATATTGAGTCTTTTGATCCATGAACATGGTATATATCTCTCCTTTTATTTAGTTCTGCCTTAATTTCTCTTAGTGTTTTGTAGTTTTCAACATAAAATTCTTATACATCTCTCATTTCATTTAAACACCAAGTTTTTAATGTTTTTTTGATGCTTTTGAAATGATACTCTTCTAAAATTTTCATTTTCCGAATGTTTGTTACTAGAGGATGGAAATGCACTTAACCTTGTATTTTTCAACTTTGCTAAATTACTTATTAGTTGTAGTAGTTTCTTTCTATATCTCTTTGTTTTTTCTCTGTACATTATATGATTTGTGAATAAAAACAGTTTTACTTTTTTTTCCCTCCAATCTATAGGCCTTTATTTATTGTACTGCCTAGGACCTCTAGTACATGAAATAAATGGTAAGAGAACAAATGTCTTGTTTTTGACAGAAATTATTCAATTTTTACTATCAAATATGTTAGCCATACAATTTTTTTTCTTTTGGGTTTTCTGTAGATACCCATTATTAGATTGAGGAAAGTCCTTACTGGTTTTTTGTTTTTGTTTTTAAGATTTTATTTATTTATTTGACAGAGAGAGAGCACAAGCAAGGGGAGTGGGAGAGGGAGAAGCAGGCTCCACACTGAGCAAGGAGCCCAATGTGGGACTCAATTCTAGGACGCTGGGATCATGACCTGAGCCGAAGCCAGACGCTTAACCGCCTGAGCCACCCAGGCGCCCTCCTTACTGTTTTTTGTTTGCTAAGAGCTTTTACAATGAATAGGTTCTGAGTTTTAACAAATGTTATCAAATTCTTTTTCTGCATCTCTTAAGATGATCCTGTGATTTTTCTCCTTTATTCTCTTACTGTGGTCAATAACTGCTTTTATAGGTTGCTGGATTTGCTTTGCAAAAAATTATTTTAGGATATATGAATCTATGTGCATGAGAGCTGTCATTTTATTTTTTTCTTGCAATATCCTCAGATTTGGGTATCAAGATTATGCTGGATCTATAAAACATATTGGGAAGTCTTCCCTCTTCCTCACCTTTCTAAAAACTTTGGTTAAAAGTGAATTCTGACTTTATTTCTACCTTAGTTGATGGATAGAATTCATCAGTGAAACCATCTGCATTTGGAATTTTCTTTGAGGGAAAATTTTTAATTATAGGTTTAGTTTTCTTAAGAGATATGGGACTATCCAGATTATTTATTTCTTCTTGTATCCATTTTGGAAGGTTGTGCCTTAGTTGTAGAATTTATCAGATAATGTTGATCATTATATCCTCTATTATTTTAATGTATGTAAATTCCTATAGTAATGTCTCCTTTATTCATGATATTGGCAATTTGTGTTTGCTCTTTTTCTTAAGTGTTCTGTGAAGGGTTTATAAGTTTTATTAATCTTCAAAAATTTGGATGTGTTCATTTTTATCTATTCATTTACTTTTGTTTTATTTACATCTCATTCTTTCCATCCCACTTTGGGCTTAATTTGTTTTAATTTTTCTAGTTTCTTAAGACAAATCGCTGATCTTAAACCTTTTTTCTTTTCTAGTATAAGCTCTTAAAGCTATACATTTCTCTCTAAGCACTACAAATTTTGATATGTTGTATTTTTATAATCATTTAGTTCAAAATATTTTTTAAATTTCCATTGTGACATGTTTTTTTACCCATGAATGATTTACAAGTGTTTTGTTTAATTTCTAAATATTTGGAAAGTATGGGGCGCCAGGGTGGCTCAGTTGGTTAAATGTCCAACTCTTGATTTCAGCTCAAGTCATGTTCTCAGGGTTGTGAGATCGAGCCCTGTGCTGGGCGTGGAGCCTGCTTGGGATCTCTTTGTCCCTCCTGCTCTGCTCCTCCCCCACTTCTCCCCCCCCCCAAAAAAAATTGGGGAAGTTACCCTTTTTATTATTCGTAATTATACTGTAGTCGGAAAACATACTGTCAAGCATATGGAAGATTCTGGCCATAATTATGTAGTAACAGAAATTGGACTTATCATGTTGCCACAAAACAACTTGAAAACTAGGCCTCGTGTATGAAACAACTGTGTCCAGACACTGGGCCATAGGCAGTACAGGACTGTCACTTCTGAAGGAAAGAAAACATACAATAGGAGCCCTGTGGTAGCCTGGCTTCCTACCTGGAACACATCTGCCAATCGATAGCTGCACACCAGCTACCGTGGGATGTTCGGTTGCTCAGGTAATGAAACCACATTTGGTTGAGCAGCTGCGGTTGGAGTCGCCACCTAGTTAAGGTTGTGGTCATCCACTGTCCTCTCCAAGGTGCATCTCTCTTCTGCCCAGGTCAAATATGAGAGCTGAATGGGGATGTGCGAATCACAGCCCTTGCCTCTTTCAAGTCCTGGGTGATGGCACTAATCTCTGCAATCCCTTCAGGGATATGATACTACTTTGATTTACTATTTTTCTAGGTAGAGGTGATTCTAATGCCTTCCTTTTGGCTTTTCCCACCGTAATAGCCCTCACTCAACAGGTCAGGGAACTATTGTGAGGATTCTGCCATCTGTTAATCTGTTATGTCTCTTACAATGATGCATTCTGAAACTGTGGAAATAACCACAGGATGGGTTCAGGGACCCAGTGGACCCACAGCAAAATAGACGTGAGCTAAAATTGCATTGATCATCTGACCTCTATAAGTCCGTACTCGGATTGGCGGGCTGGACCACAGTGACATTTTGGGTCTCCTAAAATCAGTGCCACTTCAGAGCCAGTAGTCTGATTATTTCCTTTTCCCCAGTTATACAGTTAGTTTGGTAAAAGGCTAAGCTTTTGAGAAAGGCTAGGAGAAAGATTAATAGTTTTAATTTTTAGTAGTGTATGTTTAGGGTCCTTCCCCAAGAGGACCCAGCCTCCCCTTCATTCAGGGGGTTCTGGGTCTACAAACTGGCATAGGTCTTGGGATTAATTGAGGGATCGGAACTCTATTTTTATGGTTCAGGTTAGTTTCGTTCACTTGACCTAGAACTTCCCTGCTTACACAGATCAAATAAGAATTTAGTAGGCTTGATAGGAATTGATATAGGATAGATCTTTGATGGCCTTTTCAATTTTTTTCTATGATTGGTTCTCTGTTTAGCTTTTTCTGTAAGTTTTTTGAAAACTATTTTCCTAGAAAATTGCCTGTTTTGGTTAAATTTTCGTTTATCCATCAGAAGTATATATAGCAATCTCAGTTTTTATAAGTTCTTTTTAGAAACCTCTTACTAAAATGCTTATTTTCTCATTGCTAACTTGTGTTTCAGTCCTCTCAGATTTGTCTGATATTTATCTATTTTTTCAAAGAATAGCTTTTAGTTTTAGTTATCACTTTTACTCTTTTCAAATTGGTCACTTCTGCTTTTGTATTAACTAATTCTTTTTTGATATAAGTACTTTAGCTCTTTTCTTGATTCTTGAGTTGACGTCTTATTAGCTTATTTAGTTAGAATTAATAACAAGCATCTAAAGCTGTGTCTTCTTGTGGTTATAACTTTGGCCAGGTCCTATATATTTTGGAACTCTGTGCTCTCATTGTCATTAATTGGTTTTCAGTTGTTGAAGTTTGTACCGTTTATTAAGTAGCTAAGTCAGGATTTAAAGCCAGACAGGCTGTCTCCATGAAGTAAGCTCTCTGCTTTATACAGTTGACCCTTGAACAACATGGGTTTGAACTGCGCGGCTCTACTTACATGCAGATTTTTTCAATATGGTGCTGTACTATAAATGTATATTCCTTACAAAATTTCTTTGTTTTTAATTTTTTTTAATTTTTAATTTTTTGGAAAGATTTTATTTATTCATTTGAGAGAGAGAGTGAGAGCACGAGCGGTGGGGAGGGGCAGAGGGAGAGGGAGAAGCAGACTCCCTGCCAAGCAGGGAGCCTGACACGAAGCCCAATCCCAGGACCCTGAGACTACTACCCGAGCCAAAGGTAGATGCCCAATCGACTGAGCCACCCAGGTGCCCCTCCCTTTTATTTTAGAGAGAGCGAGCAAGGGGAAAGAGGGGTAGAGGGAGAGAGAGAGAGAGAGAATCGTAAGCAGGCTCCATTCCCAGCGTGGAGCCCAACGCGGTGCTCAATCTCATGACCCTGAGATCATGACCTGAGCCAAAATCAAGAGTTGTGCAGCCCCCCCGTATGAAATTCTTAACGTTTTTTTCTCTAGCTTATTTTATTGTGAGAATACTATATATAATACATACAATACAAAATATGTGTTCATCACTGTTTAGGTTATTGGTAAGGCTTCCAATCAATAGCAGGCTATTGTTAAGTTTTGAGGAAGTCAGAGTTACACATGGGGGCTTGGCGCCTCTAACCCCTGTGTGTTCAAAGGTCAGCTGTAATGTCTTGTCATTGTAGCCCAGGGCAAATGAACTTAGATGATTTGTTCAGGGTCATTAATTGAAATAGTTCATTGAGAATTAGAACAAAATCAGTTTTGGGTTTTTTTTTTTCCCAAACTCCTCAGGAACCTTTGTAATACCTGGTCACCAGAATTCCATTGACGATACCTTAGCTTTTTAGACGTATAGACAGTGAAGATAACTAGGAACCAGAAGGCCCAAAATGGTTATGTGTGTTGGCTGGACATTTCTTCTGCTGGTCTCCTCTGGGGTCACTCATGTACCCATTGGGGTGCCTTGACTTTCCTCTAAGTGACTAGCTTGGACTTCCGCATGTGGCAGCTGGATTCAAAGAGTCCTTGTCAGTGACTTTTTAAAAACAGCTTTATTGAGGTATATTTTACTCCTTTCAAATGTACAGTTCAGTCTTAGTAACTTTACCAAGTGGTGCAACCATCATACCATAAATCAGCTTTAGAACATTTTAATCCCTCCAATAAGATCCCTTATCCCCATTTACAGTTAAACCCTCTTCCCATCCCCTACCTGAGGCAACCATTATTCTACTTTCTGTCTCTATAAATTGGCTTTTTCTATACATTGCATTTTTTTAAAATTTTATTTATTTATTTGACAGAGAGAGACACAGTGAGAGAGGGAACACAGCAGGGGGAGTGGGAGAGAGAGAAGCAGGCTTCCCGCTGAGCAGGGAGCCCGATGTGGGGCTCGATCCCAGGACCCTGGGATCATGACCTGAGCCGAAGGCAGATACTTAACAACTGAGCCACCCAGGCGCCCCTATACATTGCATGTAAATGGAATCATCAATACGTGATCTCTTGTCCAACTTCTTTCATTCAGCATAATGTTTTTGAGATTACTCCATGAGATTATACGCCTCAGTTTGTTCCTTTTGTTGCTGAAAGATACTCCATTGTACGGATATGGATATACTGTTCCATTGGGCTTTAATAGGTCTATAATTTGTTTTGAAACATTTTGATCCAGGTTTGATATCAGTGGGTCACACTGTAGCCTTCAATACTCTATTTTTTGGATTAAGACTTTTTTGGTAGCCTAATATATTATCCTTTAATGTTCCTTGGAAATGTTAAAAGAATGTGCCATGTCTGTTTGAATAATATAATCTATGACTTAGCTGTCAGTTCATACTTTTACAAAAGTTATTCAAATGTTCTGCCAGTTTTATCAGCCCTCTTATATTAGAATCTCTGATTATAATTGCCATTTTGTTAAATTCTTGATTTTCTAATAGTTTTTAAAATATAATGCCAAGTCTAATAATAGTTTGGTATTTATCCCTCTTCTAGAGTGCACATCCTTGAGAGATGCAGGCTACTGCAGTGGTGGAGATAGCTTCTGGTAAAGGCTCCCACTATAATGGAGGAAACATCCAGAAAGGTGAGGGGCCAGGCCAGTTGGCTTTATTCTGGGTGGCGAGAAGTACTAACTGTAATTCGGCGAGTTAGTTCCCCGTCCAGCGTTGCTACTTTTTAAGCCTTCCTCCTAGTAAGGTGGTAAGATTCAGCATGTTTTTAATTTAGCAAACTCACTCAGGTGATTTCTGGTGAATATGGGCAGCCTTCACAGGACCTCTTGGGTAAATGGAAGATTTAGGAAAGAAAAGGTGAGCCAGAAGAGAGGGTTTCTATTCAGCCAGGCCTTCAGGGTGGTAAGTGGAGGGTGGGCAGGTTGGCCTCTGCTGCCCAAGTTGTAGATGTTTTGTCTTCACCCAAATCAGAAATTTCTTTATCTGTGGTAATGGTAGATGAGAAAATAAGAAATAACAAGAGCATAAAAAGCAAGATGACTAAATTTTTGTGCTTATGAATATATGTGGTTTTAATACACACACACACACAAAATATTAGAATAAAATATAAAAGAATACTTTTATAGTCCTGTGGTAGAGAAGGCCAGAAAGACAAAACCCAGAAGTCAGGGAAGAAAAGACTGATCCATTTAACTAATCTAAAAAACATATAGTATAAGATTTTATAGGAAGTTAAAAGATAAGCAATAAACTAGGAAAAAGTCTCTCATATTATAAATATGAAAAACAAAGAATTAGTATCCAGAATACATAACTAACTCTTATACAAATCCCTAAGAAAAACAGATAAATTTAAAAGTGAAGCTGACACTTCTAGCCTTTGCTCCAACCCCATATTTATAATAGTTTGTCAGATATTCACATGTGGGTGTTTTATCACTGAGCTCAAACTCCACTTGCTTGGAACTGACCCCTCATTATCTCCTCCCTCCCCTACCTTGCTTTCTCTCTGTTCCTCTTTATAAAGTGCCTCTATCCCTTTAGCTCCAAATATTCCCATTCAACTGTAATATCAAGTTGTATACCTTAGCATTATCTCAGAGTGATGTCCAAGCAGGTGGTAACCAGTTGGTAGTCATGAAATCAATTTAGCTGATTGCGATCAGCTCTTTTAAAATAAATTAAACACACCAGAAAATACCAAAATACATTGGACATAGAGTAGTTACTGTTTTGTTGGATTTTTGTTTCACTTACATACGTGTGTGTGTGTGTGTGTACTGGATCTTGATATAAAACGTGGTTCTGATTATCTTCTTAATCCAAAAAATTTCCAAAGCCATTATCTCTCCCTCATCTCCCATTCCTAATCAACCACCAAGTCTTGTCAGTATGGCGCTTTTATACCAGTCCCATCTTCTCATCCCTCTTCTGTACGTAGTCTCTCTGCCTCAGTCTCCCCTTCAAGCCTTTATTCTCACCATTGCCAGGGTCATCTAAACTTACTCTATTCTCATGATTACCCTTTTAAGAAGCTTTCAGTAGTTGTCTGTTGCCTTAGAATAAGAGCCATACATCTTAGCACATTATAAAAGGCCTCTTTCTGTTCATAGCTCCTGTCATTTCTGTAGAGGTGTTTTATTCCAAAGTGGCTTACAATTTCCTGAAAATGCCATGTTCTTTCATGTAGCTAACTTTCTGTGTGCATGCTGTTTGATTTGCCTAAAATAACTGCTTTGTTTCAAAACACTTTTTAAATGTAAAGTTTCCTCTGAAGTTTACTTCTTTTTTCTCAAGCATTTTCCTGCTCGTTAACACAACTCTGTCACTGTATTACATGTAAGTGTCCTTTTCTTATCTGTGACCCTTAGGAAAGCCGAAAGTGTTTGGGTGCAGTGCCAATGTCTTCTTCCCTTTGTTTCTGCAACGCCTGAGGCTGTCGTTAGGAGGCACCCAAAGATTATAGAGTGACTGCCTTATAAATAGTAAACACCTTGCCATTGAAAGAATTCAAGACGAATCTTGGCTATTATCTCAGTCAGCTGGGGCTACCATAACAAAATACCATAGACTGGGTGGTTTAAACAACATATATTTATTTTTTCACAGTTCTGGAGGCTAGAAGTCCAAATTAGGGTGCCAGTGTGGTCAGGTTCTGGTAAGGGCTCTCTTCCTGGCTTGTGGATGGCTACCTTCTTACAGTGTCTTCACATGGTGGAAAGAAAGAGCAAGCTCTCTAGCATTTATCCCATCTTGAGGCACTTATCCCATCCTGAAGGCCCCATCCTCGTGACCTTATCTAGCCCTGATTACCTCCCAAAGGCCCCAGCTCCAGTTGTCACACTGGGAGTTAAGGCTTCGACAGACATGAGTTTCGAGGGGAATAAAATTTAGTGCAGAGCAGCAACCATAAGGGTTATTTGTCATGGGTAATGTAAAAATTATTCCTATATTGGGAAGAGCTTTGATCAGATCATATCTAAGGTTTTTCTGGTGTTTAGCTTCTGTATTGTTAATGATGCCAACATTTTCTTCTTCTTTTTTTTAAATCAGATGCGCCTTCTAATCCCAAGAAAGAAGATTTGTTATTATCTTCCAGTGGTTGTAACAAAGCCAAATTGGCTTTTCTTGATGATGACTGGGATTCCTTGGCACTAGAACAAAGAGCTAATGACAAAGAAGTCAGCAGTACTGACCGAATGGATTTATTGGAGCTATCTTGTACCGGGAGTCCAGATCCTAACAGGGAGAGCATGCTCTCTCAGTCTAGCGAGTTTGAGGACAGCATTGACTGTGCTTTCTTGAATGAAACCTACTCTATACATTATTCAGAGTCAAAACTAAAGAATGAAAGTCTCATTCGTTTAAATTCAGAAATAGATTCTGAAATGCAGAAAAGAGAAGGGGTGTTTTTTGATATTTTGGAATATCAAGGTAATAAAATTACTGGCTTGGAAAGAACCTATAAGATTTCAGATGATGATTATAAAGAAACTGCTGAAGATGCACAAAAGCATGATATAGATGAAGATTCACAGCAGGAATATCACAGTGCAGAAGAGCAAGAATACATAAGTACCCATTTATCTTTTGACCAAATGAAAACATTGAACATACCTAATCTGGAAGTTGTTAGATTGAGAAATTCAGGTTATGAAGTTGAATGTGCTAGCAATCTAGAAGGTAATCATGTTAAATTGGAAAGTAATTGTAGCATCTCTTTAGATTCAACTGATGTTTATGGACAAGAAGATGCACCTCGTGTCTCCAAGTTTCAGAATTCTGTTGTGTTAAGAGAATATCATGAACCAAAGCATGAAATGTGTAAGGAACAAGAGATGAGTTTAATGTACCACACAGTCTTTGATGAAATTGTACTAGGGAGTAGTCCGCTTGAGAACCAGGAATCTCAGTCTAAGAGTGGTTTCTTGATCCCTCAGAAAGCATTAAAAACTAAAATGTATACTGGCAAAATGAAAGGTCAAATAATTGAAAGTAAAGATTTTTGTGGGAATGCAATCGTTGAGAACAAAAAGTCGCACCACCTTGAAAATCCTAGCACATCACAACAAGACAAATCTTTACAGATGTTACTCCAACCCTGTAAAGATTGTCAAACATCCTGGACCTCTATTTTTGATGATTCAGTAATTTCTGCCTGTGGATATTCACATTATAAAAGCCTACAGAATACTCCGAATCCGGCCTTAGATTTTTCTGTTACTCTCCCGAGGATTGCAGTCAAAGACAGTCAGGCAGTAGAAGATACCTCCCTGAAGGTTGCTGATGGCAGTACGACAAGTAAAACTTGCTTTCACAATATAGAAGGAACAGGTCCCAAATTAGTGACAGATGCAGCAAACGGGACAGTCACAGTTAATCAGACAGTGGACGTTAGCACTGATTTTAGGGCTTGTTTCACAACCAGCAGGGCAACAAGTGCAAGATCTTCTGTAGCATCTACTTCAAGCAATACAGAGATAACAATGATGAACAAAAAACGGCCTGGTGAATGGCCCAGTGAGAAACAGAGAAGCGTGGCTTGTAATACAGATTGGTCATGCAGTCAGGATGATGACGATGCACCAGGGGCTGCGACAGAAGGATCATTGGGAAAATCTCTCTCAGTTGACAGTTCAAAACCTAATGGAAATTTCCTAAATAAGGTAAAGCCAATATGATTAATGATAAAATTTTATTTGACCTTACATAGAGGCTGTGTATGATGAAATAAATGGTTTGTTGAATTATAACAGGGGTCCCTAAGGCTTTTGTGAGGAAATGCTGAATGAGGAGAAAGGTGAATAGATTGCTGCCAAACTCTGTCCTTCTTTGGTGGCAGCTGTTGCCACCAAGTCAATTAGAAATTGGAATTTTACATCTTACCAGCTTGGAACTCCAGATACAACATATGTTGTTTGTGATCTATTTCTAATTTTATTTTAAACCATGTTTTCCAGGATCCCCTGGAATTAAGAAAAACATCTGCTATCACAGACTTAAAGAAACATCCTGAAAGGTAAATCAGATGTATCAACCTGCAGATATACATGGGGAAAAATCAAAACAGTAATTTGCTTTTTTTGGAGGGTGTTTAACCATATGGGATAATAGCTAAAAGGGACTTTAAGAGATCATCTATTTCAGCCATTTGCCTTCAAATAAATAAATATTAGGATAATGTATAACTTTAAAGCTTTTCACTTATTAAGATTCTATCTCAATAATTCCTTCAGAAACTCATGGCATCTTCTCTTTATTTATTCAACACAAATCTATACTGATTTAATTATTCCATTTTCCTTCGTTTGATCCCTCTCTAGACCAAAACAAAATAGCACCTATGGAAAACTTCACATATTTGAAGTAGTAAATAGCTGCTTTCACTGGAGTATTTTAATCTTGATTTTAATTCATTGTGTAATTTACTCTGCATCTGTGGAGAACCTGGGGTGGGGGTTCAGAGAGGAAAGGGCAGGTCTCTGAGAAGCCAAATTCGTTTTCATGCTCTGAGTTCATTTACTTTTTCCTTCACTCATTCTTCATTCTCCTAATGAGTTTAATCTGGTGCTTGCTCGCTCTCCCTCAAATAAATAAATAAATAAAATCTTTTAAAAAGAGAGAGAGAGAGATAATACATTTAAGAACCATTTCCATCCAGAATGCTTATAACTTTAAAAAACGTTGGCCAAAGCTTGATTTAGGTTGAAAATCTATTGATTGTGGATAAATAAAGTTGATTCTGTACTTCAGAATCCTTTTTTGGTAAAAGAAAGTATGAATTGGAAACTTTTTTACTTCCTTGACTTCTAGAAAGTATATATTTACTTTGACTTGACATCCTTATTTTCTGAGGATGTAATGTTTCCTACAGCCTTTCCATCTTAGTAGAAATTGATTTAAACTGGACAGAAAATTTTAAGAAATTTAAAATCTCTTTGAGAGGCATGTCATTAACAGGGAAAAATATTTGGAATCTTGCCTAATCCAGTCTTTTATTTTAAAGGGAATGTCAGCTTTCTCAGGAGCCGGCGAAGAGTTTGCCATCAAAGTGCTGTCAGAAAATCATGCAGAGAGCCATCAAAGCAGAGCTGCACCTTTTAAATGTTCACTATCAGATGTGTCACCGCCACTGCACTGATATTTACAAACTCATAGTGGAAAACAGGCCAGGGTTAAATAGGTGATTGTTCATTTTAAATCTGTATCTTCCTAGAAAGTCATTATAAGCTTTAAATTTATACCAGAAAATTTCTTTAATTTTTATTTTTGAAAGGCAAAGTGAGGAGTAGATTGTAACTGGGTTTGTTAGCTGGCCTAGGGGTGATGGACTTTAAAAAGTCGTACATTTTAACTTCATGGGGAGGCAGCAGGGTATGTCAGGGTGGCGAATCCAGTGAAACAATAGACTGGATGTTTATAAAGTCCCAGGTATGGCTGAAGTCAGTAGCACAGTTTGCATGACATCCTGCCACCTTCTCTCTAGCTTATATACTGAGGGCTGCTTCTGCTACCCCTAGAAAAACATCTTCTTTGGTTTTCTTTTACTAGATATTTAAAAGAAAAAGTCTGTAAAGATCTGGTAGAGTTGGAACTCAGCATATAATATAATAGTGTTAAATGGATGACTTGTGCCTAAGGAGTTTTGTAAATTTGACTTTTGAACAGAAACTTATCAAGTAATTCTACTAAGAAGGAATTAGGATCAGCACTACTGTCTGTTTTGGGAGACTTAAAGGTTAGATATGAGAGCTTGAAAGAAAAAATAAACAAGGGCATGCCTCTGGAAGATATGCCCCCGCTGTCCGTGGAATCAAAATTATTATCGACCTTCTCTACGTTTGCTTCCACGGTATGTATGTATGTTTTATAATTAAAATTTTACTCTCTAAAATTTTACAGAGTTACTTTATTTATTCAACACAACTCTGTACTGATTTAAATTTTACTCTCTAAAATTTTACTCTGCATACATTTTAAACTAAAAGACTTTTCTTCCCTTTTCTCTCTTTCCAGCTAATGAAAGAAGAATCACATGTGTAAGTTATGGTTTCATCTAATGTAGAATGCATTAGATCTTAAAAATTGCTAAAGTCGGTTAACTTTAAGTTTTCTGTTGGTCCTTTTTCAGAACATTGATAAGCTATTTAATGAAATGCTTGTCTGTTTAGCTTTTCAGAAGCAGATCCTGAAGTAGATAATCAAAGTACACGTGATGTCGACGTCTCTTCAAGCCTAAAAAAGACACTCTCTCAAGTGAGACTTTTAAAAACTAGTTCATTGGCGTAAATCTGTGATTTTATGGCTTTCAGAAGCTCTCACCTTTTTTTTCTTTTTTTTTTTTTAAAGATTTTATTTATTTATTTATTTGAGAGAGAGAATGAGAGAGAGAGCACATGGGGGGGGGGGGAGGGTCAGAGGGAGAAGCAGACTCCCCGCCGAGCAGGGAGCCCGATGCGAGACTCGATCCTGGGACTCCAGGATCATGACCTGAGCTGAAGGCAGTCGCCTAACCAACTGAGCCACCCAGGCGCCCCATTCTCACCTTTTTTTCCACTCAGCTGGCTTTGTGTACTACTACCTGAGGGGTAGAACTGATTAGAAGGAACATAGTGTCCTGATCAAATAGATGTCAGTGGTGTCTGTTCAGTAACAAACCAGGAGACGGCTGAGGATGGAAGGCAGTGACGTTAATGACTCACCATGACAGTAGTTCCGATCCTGAACTGTCTAAGGCAACCCTGACTGGTGGCCACCGACACGCAGTGTGCTTAGAACTAGTAAAATGTTATCTGCATCTCATGAGGTAAAGTAATACTTCATTCATTTTAGACAAAGCAAAAGCTTAATTCCTTTTTTATTGAAATGACAAAATGAGTTTTTAAATGCCTTTCACAGGTGTTCTTGATCTCTCTTGTCCCCTAAGGAATTGTGTGTCCGGTAACAGTCTGTGTAAGGGCACTCTGCAGAGTGTGAAGCGGGATAGAAACACAGGCTCTATTCCTTGTGAAGTGAGGCAGTGCCGTAGGAAAGCTGAACTTTGTTGCTGTTTTCGGATTTTGGTCTTCACCCTGAGGTTATACTATTTGGGTAGTCTTAAATAATAAGATGCATTACGGAGCCAAAAGTAAAATAGTTTATTGAGTTATATACTTTCCTATTAACAAATGATTAAAAGTAAATTACCTTAGCAAATTATGTATTCCATTGTTCTACTTGATTAAAAAAAATCTCCGTTTTAACATCTAAAACCAGATTTTTATATCCTCACATTTCTTATATAATTTGCTAAAACACATTCATTTAATGGTATGTAATGTTCTGGAGGATTTTTTTTTCATCATTGTAATGGTAACAATGATATAAACTTATTTGGGGAGAACAATAAATTTTTTTTTAAGATTTTATTTATTTATTTGACAGAGAGAGACACAGCAAGAGAGGGAACACAAGTGGTGCCTGGGTGGCTCAGTCGTTAAGCGTCTGCCTTTGGTTCAGGTCATGATCCCAGGGTCCTGGGATCAAGCCCCGCATCGGGCTCCCTGCTCAGCGGGAGGCCTGCTTCTCCCTCTCCCACTCCCCCTGCTTGTGTTCCCTCTCTCGCTGTGTCTCTCTCTGTCAAATAAATAAATAAAATCTTTAAAAAATAAAAATTAAAAAAAAAAAAGAGAGAGAGAACACAAGCAGGGGGAGTGGCAGGCAGAGGGAGAAGCAGGCTCTCCACAGAGCAGGGAGCCCGATGCGGGGCTCGATCCCAGGACCCTGGGATCATGACCTGAGCCGAAGGCAGACGCTTAACGACTGAGCCACCCAGGCGCCCCACAATAAATTATTTTTAAAAATACAAGATACAGATACAACAATTTTTATATAATCTTAGTTTGGACTATAAGACAATACCTATTATAAGTTAGGATGAAATTTTAATACCTGTCTCATTAAATTAACAGGTTATGTGTGAAAACCAGTACAGTGGAGGGTAGTGTTGCTAAATTTCAGCTACTCATGTACCATCTTCACATTTTCCCATAGCCATGTATTACCTATAATCTTACTTGCTTTGTATTTTTAAATGATTTCTTTTTTTTTTTTTTAAGATTATTCATCTATTTTAGAGAGAGTGCACACGAGCGGAGGATGGGGAGGGGGAGAGGGAGAAAGAGAATCTCAAGCAGTCTCCCTGCTGAGCTTGGAGCCCGACATGGGGTTCCGCATCCCATGACCCTGAGATCATGACTGAGCCGAAATCAGGAATCAGACGCTCACCTGATTGAGCCATCCAGGCGCCCTTAAATGATTCTCCTTTCTAAATAAATTTATGTGTAAAAAGTAACTATTGGGCGCCTGGGTGGCTCAGTTGATTAAGCGACTGCCTTCGGCTCAGGTCATGATCCTGGAGTCCCGGGATCGAGTCCCACATCGGGCTCCCTGCTCAGCTGGGGGTCTGCTTCTCCCTCTGACCCTCTTCCCTCTCGTGCTCTCTGTCTCTCATTCTCTCTCTCTCAAATAAATAAATAAAATCTTTAAAAAAAAAAAAAGTAACTATTAAATATGGGAAAGAAATGCCACTTTTTATAAATAAAAGGTATATATAAGCACACATTACATTAAATGTATTACTGTTAATTGTTAATGTGGAAAATAGAACACTTCTGAAAATCATCTCAAGTACTCCTTGTGTGTATGTGTGCCACACTTTGCTAAATAATGGTAGTTTTGGCAGTCACTATACACAGGTGAGTTCAAATCCTTTTTCTTGTTAAGTGTGACCAACATAAAGCAGCAAGTTACTTACTTTCAGTTTGCTCACCTATGGAAAATGGTTTTGCTTTCATTGCCTTCATTGTCATGAGGACTGAACAATGTTAGTGAAGAGTGCCTGCCACATAATAACAGTGCAGTAGCGGTTAGTCCGTATTTATTGTTGTTTTTATTATTTTAATCCTCAGATGTCCTTACAGTCTGACAGCAGTCATCCTAAGCAGGACGCACCACCCAAGGAAGATGGTTTAAAAAATGGTGACGTAGATGTAGACTTAAGTCAGCTGAAACTGGAGGACAAAGGTCAGTGTGCAGATGTAGTCCTGTGTCATTGCCCAAAAACAAGTAGCAAAGTTTAAAATACTCCTAGTGCCCATTCATTAAATCAAAATCAACATTTTTAATTGACTGGCATCATTCTGATTATGAACATTAATTATGTTCTTATTACATCTATGTAACATCTGTAAGGTTACTTAATATATTTGATAATGTCAAATAATAATACAGATTCTTTCTTCTGGTTCATGTTTTCCAATCTGAAAATTCTTTCTTCTGTCCAGTTTGTATCTATGTAAATTGTACTGTTTTAATTTTGTCCTCTGTGAGAAGAGATAATCATTCCGGAAAGATCATTAATTCAATTTTTAATGAAACTGGTTAATCCCTTTTTAAAGATGTTTACTATTATTCTGTGTATAAAAATGTGTCTCTTCTTCAATAAAGGATAATTTAAAAACCGGAACTTTTAATAAGCTAGGAATCAGTGTTAGTTAAAAGAAAACTGGGAAGCAGATCACTCAGAATAGTATTTTTTATTCAGGGGCTAGCAAAAAAACTTTTCTGAAAGGATCTTTATGCTTAGTTTATATTTTGCTGATATTTATTTTTACATAAAACTAGTAATTGTCCTCATGCTGATTTATTCTGAGAAGCTTTTTAGATAATTTCTCAGAGTTTAACATTATACATAATTCATAGCTACTTCTGTTCAATTTCTCAGACTGCAAAAATTATCGAGAAATAAGTGAAGACTGGTTTGATGCTAAAGAAAACCTGACAGGAGTTGACTTGTCAGGAATACAAGAAAATCAAATAGAAAAAGACAAAGGGGATCCAAAGTTTCCACAAGGTTGGTTCTTAACAATTTACTAAGAAATCCTACTCTAGCTCGTTTTGTAACCATCTTCTGTGTTTTTCTGAGAACTAAACTGTTTTAATATTTTATTGTTTGTGGCTTTCCTTTATAATTATAAAAAATGAGAAATTGGACATTTAGAGGTCAGTTTTTCTAGAGAGTAAATCAGTTTAAAATGTTCATTTCTTTCAGAAAACTACTAAAAGCTTAAATCCCAGATTTAGTTAGCAGTAGAGGTCTGAGTCCTTCCTGCCATTCTGGGCCAACACCAGTGCTCCTCCTGGACACTCTCTTCCTCTGAACCCTCAGCAGATCTGTCAAATTGGCATGAGGGATCCAAATAGTCCTCTTTCCCTTACTTTCCTGAAATACCAAATTATTAAAGTTTTCACCTTTCATAGTCTTTAATTGCTTATAATAGTTGGAATTTCCTCTAGTATCTGTGATCATTGCCCTTCTATCATTTCTAAATATATACTACCTTCCTTTATTTTATTTCTGTATGCTTCCATGGATTTTTATTTGATGTAAGAGCAATGGTTTTATTGGGCTTTTTTGCTTGCATAAATAATGCTTATTAAAATTTTTAAACAGGGACATCTGGTGGCTCTTTCGGTGAAGCATCTGCCTTCAGCTCAGGTCATGATCCTGGAGTCCTGGGATCAAGTCCCACATCAGGCTCCCTGCTCAGCGGAGAGCCTGCTTCTCCCTCTGCCTCTCCCCCTGCTTGTGCGCTCTCTCTCTCTCTCTCTCTGTGTCAAATAAATAAAATCTTTTTAAAAAAAGATTTTTAAACAAAATATAAGAAAATTTAAATTACCTGAAGGTTCTCCAGTCTGCAGTAACCACTATTACCATTCATTTATGCATTTTTATGCCTGTATTTCATACACATATACAGTTTAAAATAAATGACATTTTATCATCTAGCTTTATCGTAACTACTTTTTTTCCTTGCATTATTTTTGTCCATATCACTTAGCACATACTGTGTACTTACCTTACTTGATCTATGGACTGCCTTCCCACATCACATATTAGCTCAGTGAGGTTGGATTTTTTTTTATTGTTTGTTCACTACCTGTCTCCAGTGCCACATACAGTGTTCTGCCCATGGGGTAGTTAGTAGTCCTGTTGTATTGAACCTAGTGCAAGGTAAAGGGGATGAGTCGAACATATGTCTCCTAATGCCTATTCACTGTAGCTTCTTGCTCCCTCCACACCCCAGTGTAGAAGTATACAGACAAATAGTTTCACTGTCTTCTCTATGACGGTACATTATAAACCGAAGAGATTAAGCAAGCTAAAGGAAGCAAGTTAATGAAGAAGGTTGGGTTATTATTGCCTAGAGATGACGGAGTCTGCCTGCTTTGCCGCACCACCACTGAACTCGATTCGTGGGGTGAAGTGCTGGGCGTCCTGCCTGCAGTGTGAGGGGCACTCAGGAGGGGTGGGGCTATTATTATTGAGTGAAAAAACTAAAACTTACAACCATTCCATTATTATAAAAATATAAAACAAATAAATTAAAACTACTCTAAGAACTCATGCACCAGATATTTATTGTGTACTACCTATGTGCCTGGTATTGGTTTTGACAGTAAACTGAAAGAATCTCAATTCAGTGAATCCTTCTTGATTTCAGAGCAAGTTCTCTTCAAAATGGAGACCATGAAAATGCATTCTGAGAATGGAAAAAAACTGTATCTGTAATCCTACTATTTGTGGTTCCCAAAAAGTGCTATGTAAATCAAGTTGTTTGTACCCCGCCCTTTTTTCTGTTGTGCCATTACCATTAACAGGCTATATACCTGCTATTGATATTTTTCTGATTTCAAGGCTTTGTTGGTGTGGTGGTTCCCGAGCACAGGAATATACATAAGCCCTAGCCAGGATTAACATGGGGGCAGTTAGGGTCCTCTGCACATCCAGCTTCCTAGATAGCACGTCTTTGAACCAAAGACAACTGAAAGACACCTTTCTTAATTGTGATGTAATTGATTATCCTGACGAGATGTTATTGACCCATTTTTGAGCTACAATCCAATCCCTGAAGATGATATGATTAAGGCCCTAAAATCTTAAAACTGTGCTCTAGGCTCTTGGTCTTCAGACCAATGCTGATATTCAGTAATAACTCTGTAATAAGCTTTATGATAATAAAAAATTTTTTCACATTTCTTTTAAAATATCAAAATAATAGTCACATATTATGTTTCTCTACAAGCAGAAATGAAGAATATTGAACCTTTACGAAAAGATAAAGGTTATTTGATACATGTTGGTGGTCTGTGCCCTTCAGTATCTGAGGTATGCCAGGACTTATTTTCTGAGTTTCATTTTAAAATCTATTAATTGTTCATATTTTGATTATTTTTTATTTTTTCTACCTTTCACAAACTTTTATTTTTCTTTCAGGCTGATTTAAGGTCTCATTTCCAGAAATACCAAGTTTCCGAAATTTCAATTTATGATTCTTCTACTAATTATAGGTAGGTTTCCCAAATTCAGTAAGGTGCATGTGCTGGGTGTGTGCTGTGTGCCAGGGGTTGTGTGGTGGACACCAAGCGCAGTGGCAGTCAAGTCAGGGGCCATTTCTGCAGAGCTTTCCCAGCCAGAGGGATACATCACTAATGGTGCTGTTCTAATCAAATCTTCCATTACACTTTTTAATTTGCCATTAATGGCTTATTGATTTTTGTGCACTTAATCCTGTTTCATTACCATTTCATAGGGGCAGTAGAGTGCCTTAGTTAAGAGAATGGGCTCTATCGCTAGATGGCTTATGTCTTGGGCTCTGTTCCCAGTTGCATCAGTAGCTTGCTGAATAAATTTGGGCAAGTTATTTAACCTTTCCATACCTCAGGTGCTTCATCTGTAAATGGGATAATAATAATACCTTCATCGCATTGCTATGAGACAATTATTAATAAGTAAAGCAATAGGAATATAGCCTAGCATATAATAGGCACGCAGAAAATTGTACTTAGTTTTATTATTTTTAATTTTAGTTACCTTTTAGTTGATGCTTTTTTTTTTTTTTTAAAGATTATCTATTTATTTATTAGAGAGTGAGCAGGAGAGAAACAGCATTAGAGGGGAGAGGGTCAGAGGGAGAAGCAGGCTCCCCGCTGAGCCAGGAGCCCGATGAGGGACTCGATCCCAGGACCCTGGGATCATGACCTGAGCTGAAGGCAGTCGCTTAACCAACTGAGCCACCCAGGTGCCCTTAGTTGATGCTTTTATGTTTATCATGTACATACAGTCATTTCCAATATTTATCATGCTACTTTCTGTTTTGTGACATTGTAGGAATATTCAAAATTATCAAATAAAATGGTGATAGCTTGGGGCGCCTGGGTGGCTCAGTCGGTTAAGCAGCTGCCTTCGGCTCAGGTCATGATCCCAGGGTCCTGGGATTGAGCCCCGCATCGGGCTCCCTGTTCAGCAGAGAGCCTGCTTCTCCCTGTCCCTCTGTCTGCCACTCTGCCTACTTGTGCTCTCTCTCTGTCAAATAAATAAATAAATAATATCTTTATAAAAAAAATAAAATGGTGATAGCTTAATGGAAATGCCTTAATTATTTTATCACTAATGAGGATAGCTGTTTATTTCAGATGTAAAAGTCTTTATCAATTAAGAAAGGATCCAATACGGGTGCTTGGGTGGCTCGGTTGGTTGGGCATCCAACTCTTGATTTTGTCTCAGGTCATGATCTCAGGGTTGTGAGATCAAGCCTGTGTCAGGCTCTGCACTGGACATGGAGCCTGCTTAAGATTCTCTCTATCCCTCTGCCCCTTCCCCCCACCTTGAGCTCTCTCTCAAAAAAAAAAAAAAAAAAAAAAAAAATAGTTGTTTAAATGGAGTCACTTAAGATCATGGGCTTTTTAAATTTGGCCTGTTGATGTGTTGTTAATACATTCCACTACATTAAAGTAGTTTTGTGATCCTGGAAGTATTATTTGATGTGAAATATTCTTTTAGTATTTGTAATCCTTTTTAAAAAAAAATTTGTTTTTTTATTACTTGAAGTATTATACATTCTGTGTGGAAATTTAGAAAACACATTTTAAAAGAAAAACAGAGAAACTTATAACAATATAGCCATAGTTCTGTCTTTTGAAAACAACTCCTTTTCAGATTTGGTGTATGTCCTTCCATTGACACATCTAGGGCTGGTGATTTCCGAAGGATGACTTTTGCCTCACTTTCTCAATCAGATGGTTAAAATTCTGGTTAGATTTTCCAACTTCTTTTTTGGTCCTCTTATTTTTCTACGACAGGGTCCTATGGACATTATCTTACATACTCTGCCAAATGTTTTTAAAATTAGCCTTTCACATTTAAGACTTTGATCCACCTTGAGGTTATGTTTTGTGTATAGAGATTAATTTTAATTTTTTTAGAATAGATAACCAATTGTCCTAAGATTACTAATCTGTGTTACTCTGTCATAGAGCAACTTTTCAAATGTTATACATTAAATTTTAATATAAAATTAATAGAGAACTCATAAGAAATGCTGTCTTTTACTTCCCATCTTTGTTTCTTTTTTAAAGATTGTATTTATTTATTTGACGGAGAGAGTACAAGCAAGGGGAGCAGCAGAGAGAGGGTGAAGCAGGCCCCCCACTGAATAAGGAGCCCAATGCGACATGGGTCTTGATCCCAGAACCCTGGGATCATGACCTGAGCCGAAGGCAGACGCTTCACCCACTGAGCCACCCAGGCACCCCTGATTTCCTTTTTTTTTTTTTTTTATTAGGATTTTTACATTTATTTTAGAGAGAACAGGAGTGGGGTGGGGGGGCAGAGGGAGAAAGAGAAGCAGGCTCCTTACTGAGCAGGGAACCCCATGCAGGGCTCGATCCCAGGACCCTGAGATCATGACCTGAGCCAAAATCAGATGCTTAACCAACTGAGCCACCAGGCTCCCCTAATTTCTTTTTATTTAGTTATTCTAAATGAATATTCTTCCTAATCCCAAGGTAAGTATATTAACTTTTTTTTTTTTAAGGGCAGCTATTCTTGTAAAAGATATGTATGTATCCAGTAGTTACAATGTGAAGTTTGAGGCAATTTAGTCATTAACAACCTTTTGGTTTTCTGCTTTTTATATGTTAGATATGCATCCCTTGCTTTTAAAAAAAACATTGATGCAAAGATGGCCGTGAAAGAAATGAATGGGATAGAAATAAATGGAAAATCAGTAAATGTGCGGCTTGTTAAAACTCCTGGAGAATATACATCACCACTTTCCTACAAAAATGGAAATAAAGTTACTTGGAATAATTTGGAGAGAAGCACCAACAAAGAAATTAGCTCATTCTCCTCTATTTCAAGATTGCCCAGAACTAGGCCAAGGCAGCTGGGATCTGAGCAAGACAGTGAGTTTTTTCCTTTTGACCAGAAGGTTAGTTTTCTTGATGGATCTCTTCAGTGGTCTTTGTATAGGACATACTGCAGTAAGTAGCTTTGTAGAACAAGTAACTCCAGAATCAGGGCGCTTGAAGTGGAAATGAGAATGTTAATCTGTATCCTTTTTAAGCTTGGATCCACCCTAACCTGTTTTTTGTACAACTCCAGTTGCTCTTGGAGGAGTGGGGGATGTGGATCTTTGTAGATCTGGCTATAGATTATTTCTCTTTATCTTTAACTAGACACTTTGCCAGTGCTTTGCAGTCTTTTTTGTACCTATTCTTGGATAGTATTCCTGTGTAAGTAGTTAATTACTCTCTCATCATCCTTTCTCACAGTTAATCTTGGCTCATAATTATTAAAACCATAAAATATAGTCATTTTATTATATACATGCCCTCAATTTTACCTCATCAGGGTTTTAAACACTACATGGAAAATGATGAGGTTGCCCCTTTTACTCTCATCTCTCTGCTGTTCAGCAACGTGCCTGGGGTCCTATAGGAGTTCCACAGATTTTTTTTAAAAATTTACATAGAGTAAAATTCACTGCTTTTGGTATTTTCAAGTTTAGGCACATGGATGTGTAACCACCACCACAATCATGATACAGAACAGTTCCTTCATTCCAGAACATTGTCTTATACTCTGCTATTTCCTGTTCTTATGATTTTACCTTTTCCAGAATGTCATAGAAATGAATATTTTGTAACATTATTAGCCTGACATCTTAGCTTAATGCATTTGAGACTGATCCATATTGCTGTGTATATAGCATTTCATTCCGGTTTATATTTTGGCCACTTTTATTGGATTGTTTACTTTTTTAAGGTTTTCATTTAAATTCCAATTAGGTAACACAGTATATTAGTTTCAGGGGTACAATATGGTAATTCAACACTTCTTAAATCTACTGGTGCTCCTCACAACAAATGTATTCCTTTTTTTTTTTTTTTTTAAGATTTTATTTATTTATTTGACAGAGAGACACAGCGAGAGAGGGAACACAAGCAGGGGGAGTGGGAGAGGGAGAAGCAGGCTTCCCACCGAGCAGGGAGCCCGATGTGGGGCTCGATCCCAGGACCCTGGGATCATGACCTGAGCCGAAGGCAGACGCTTAACCACTGAGCCACCCAGGCGCCCCAACAAATGTATTCCTTAATCCCTATCCCCTCTTTAACCCATCCCGCCACCCACCTCCTTTCTGGTAGCCATCATTTTGTTCTCTATAGCTGAGTCTATTTCTTAGTTTGTCTCTTTCCCTTTTTCCCCCTTTGCTCATTTTTTTTTTCTTAAATTCCACATATGAGTGAAATCATATGGTATTAGTGTCTTTCTCTGACCATCTTATTTCACTTAGCATAATACACTCTATTCATGTCATTGCACATAGCAAGATTCCATTCTTTTTTATGGCTGAGTAATATTCCATTGTATATGTATACCACATCTTCTTTTTCCATTCATCAATCCCAAAAAAATGAGTAATCTGATTAAAAAATGAGAAGACATGAATAGACATTTTTCCAAAGAAGACATACAGATAGCCAACAGACCCATGAAGAGATGCCTAATATCGTTTATCATCACAGAAATGCAAATCACAACCATGATGAGATACCACCTCACACAAATCAGAATGGCTAAAATCAACAACACAAAAAACAACAGATGTTGGCGAGGATGTGGCAAAAGGGGAACCCTCATGCACTGTTGGTGGGAATGCAAGCTGGTGCAGCCACTCTGGAAAACAGTATGGAGGGTCCTCAGAAAGTTAAAAACAGAACTACCCTGCAATTCAGCAATCGTACTACTGGGTATTTACCCAAAGAATACAAAAACACTAATTCAAAGGGATACATGGACCCTGATTTTTATGGCAGCATTATTTACAATAGCCAAATTATGACAACCACCCAAGTGTCCCTTGATTGATGAATTGTTGTTTATCTTATTATTGAGTTTTGAGAGGTTTTTTATGTTCTGAATACAAACCTTTTATAAGATATATATATATGACTTGGGAATACTTTTTCTAACCTGTACTTAGTCTTTTCCTTCTTTTAATACTGTCTTAAAGGAGTTTTTAATTTTGATGAAATACAGTTTATCAGTTTTTTTCTTTTTTAACTTGTGCTTTTAGTGTTATATCTAAGAAATCTTTGCAAAACCCATGGTCACAAAGATTTTGAGTTGATTTTTATTTAACACATGAGGTATTATCACCTTTCTTTTCTCAGCTTCTCAACATTTATTCATTACATTCATTTATTTAGAAAATATTTATTGTCTACCATGAGCGGCAGAACCTGGCTCCGCTACCTACTTATTATGTGACTGGGCAAGTTACCTAATCTCCATGTCTGAGCTTCCTTATCTTAAAATGGGAATAATAGTTCCTGCTTCACAAATGTTGTGAGGTTTAAATGAATTTCATACAGAAAAGTCCTTAGAACGGTGCCGGGCACAGAAAATGCACTCAGTCAGTAGTAGCTGTTACTGTTGTTGAGAAGTAATTTGTCTCTTTCTTGGAAATCTCATCCTTTCTGTGGTTTAAACTATCACTTAAACTATTGTATCCCAAATTTTTATTTATTCAGCAGTTATTACATACCAACTATATACATAAATATTCTAGGCACTGGGAAAGCAGCAAAGAACAAAACAGACCAAAAAATATGTGTTCTTGTTTAACTTAAATCTAGTGAAGCAAGGCAATAAGCAATTAAGTAAAATAGGTAATGTTCTGATGGGATAGATATAATATTTTATGTATTTTGCCCTGTCTTTTCATCTAGACTTTAAAGTCTCAGCTCTTCATTTAGTTTGAATTTTTATGGGATATGTAGTGGTTTCATACAATTTATAGCCTACTTGCATCGTTAATACTAATTAATCATTTTAATTTTGTCTGTTCGATTGGATTGTAAGATTCATAGGTGGAGGGGTTTCTAATTTATATGACTAGTTTTCCTTCCATAGTGTGTGGTCCAATTCTGGACATATAGTCTGTGATGATTACATATTTAGTAAATGTAGAATATTTATAATTAACTATGTAAAGCAGCCTTTCTCTGTCAGGTTAGGTAAGAGAACTAAGCCTCCATGCCATAAGCCTAAGATATCCACTGTATGTAGTGAATTAAACTTTCTCCTGCCCTGAGAATGGAACTAATTATGTCTTATCTTTGGGGAAATTGAGAAAATAGTTAACATCTGTATTCTGTGGTTCAGATGAGGAATCCCAGTTGAGAAAGGCTGATGTACTAACTTCAAGTATTTTGTCACTATTAGAAAACATGTGTGACTTTTTTTAATACATGGCTCTGAACATGGCTCAAGTAAATCTACTTGGTATAAATAATCCCAAATCAAAGTAAATTTCTTAGGAATTTTTATTTTACCATTTGTAATTTTAAATTTTAATTAAATAAGCTAAAGTGTCTATGTAATAGTCACTGATTTTAAGAAAACTTTAAAATGCTTATTTAGGGTGTCAAGAAGAATTGTAAACAGATTGAATCTACTAAGTTATTACCTGATACACCTACTCAATTCATACCTCCAAATACATTGAATCTGCGTAGCTTTACCAAAATCATAAAGAGACTGGCTGAACTACATCCAGAAGTTCACAGGTAATGACTACAATTCTATTTAAAGTGGTTTTAATATTTTTATGTAAAAATATAGTTCAATGTGATAACTTATCCATATTTAGAATGTGTTACTTTGGAAAGACAGGTGCTTATGTGTATTTTCCTTTTGCATAGAGACCGTATTATAGATGCTCTTCAGGAAGTAAGAATAAATCATAAAGGTTTTCTGAATGGCTTATCTATTAATACTATTGTGGAAATGACTTCATCTGTCTTGAAAAATTCTGCTTCCAGTTAGGAATGAAAGAAGCAACAAGAGGTAAATCAAGTATATCTTTTATATTTAAATATTACTTAAAATTTTTAAGCTCTTGATTTTTGAAATGAAAAATAGTATTAAATTTAAAGTAATAAAATAAGGATATTATAAAATTAAAAGGCAAACATACTGTATTAGTTAACTACTAATGCAAAACCAGTTACCCAAACGCAATTGCTCAAACAACATTCATCATCTCCTAGCTTGCAGGTCAGGATTCAGGAGTGGCTTAGCTGGGTGGTTTTCACTTAGGAACTCTCACAGTGTTGCAGTCAAGATGTTGCTTGGGCTGCAGTCATCAGGAGGCTTGACTGAGACTGGGGGATGTGCTGCTGAGATGGCTCGTTCACAGGGCTGTTGGCCACGTGGGCCTCACCACATGGACCTCTCGTTGGGGCTGCTTGAGTGTCTTTACATTCTGGCAGCTGGCTTCTCTAGAGAGAGAGAGCAAGATGGAAGCTGCAGTGTCTTTGTGACCTAGGCATACTCCATGGTTTCTGTCACATTTTAGATGTGAGTCACTGTATGCAATCCACACTCAAGGGGAAGGGAATTAAGCTCCCCCTCCTGAAGAAAAGTGAATCAAAGAATTTGTGTATGTGTTTTAATTACATGCACAAACGTGGGATTCTTTGTTATAAAATAATGAATGGGGATTTGTTTTCAGTTATAGCTGTCTAGGTGATTAAAGCCAACTTGCTATAGGGAGCAGCTAGAAAAGCTGAATAAATGTAAAGAATATCTGTTTGAACAAGGCACTGGGGAGCTATCCCCGTGATCATGAATTAGTGGGCCAGGGTACAGAGATGAGTCTCAGGAAAATATGCCCAATGTTTGGGATGTTTTCCCTGGTATTATTTGCAGAGGGGTAGCTAGTTTAAGGGACCCTTCTGATAACATTGAAGCCAGGGAGATGGGGCCTTGGTGAACTCTCAGCAATGGGTTGGAACCCCAGCGGGTTGTACTGCAGTAGTAACTATGAACCA